CATGCAGAAAGGATAACAGCCCCAGAAAGCAGTAAATTCAGTAGGTGGACAGATTTCATTTGTGCTGAAGTTCAGAGAGAACTTGTGTAGTGTTTCGTTATGTTGTTTAGCCGTGTGTATGAAAGCTGCCTTTTTTCTGATGACATGGAGTACTCCAAGTGGAAACGTCTGTGATCCACTCAATGAATGAAGTCTATTTTAGCTGAAGATTAAATGGAAATTATCACTGTGTTGGTTTAGAAACAAGTAAACACAACTTTGCCCTCAGTGCTATCTGACCACATAGTTCACAGTAGCTTTTTGACCGTGGTCAAAGCCATGTTTAAGAACAAACAAATTTAAAAAACCCACCCCCAAACCCAAAAACTGCCTCCTATCTGAATATAGTAGAGTCCTTTTAACCTGCTCTCAAAAGTATCGTCTTCTATTGGCATCTGACTGCCCAGAGGGAAGGGTTTTTTTCTCTCCTTTCCCCCGGCCTTTCTTTTTCCCCAGTAATCTTACTGCTTTGCTAAAAATAAGGTTAAGTTGGAGAAGGAAGCAACACAAAAGTTGTCGCTTGTAGGTCCTGATGTCATTCTGGATATTTCACATATTTTGTCTGTAGCTGGGGTAGATTCCAGATGAACATCTCTCCTTGTGGCAGAGGGAAAGAAAGTAAGCTTCGGACAGAACGTTTGTCTTCATTCACTGGTTCAGCTGAACTAGCAGGAGTGTCGGTGGGTTTTCTGGTGAGGGTGACAGCTCCAGCACCGGGTTGTGTCCTTGTCGGAAACCCACCTACCTTGGCTGAAAGCAATTCACATCAAAGTGTGTGCTTTCTTGCTCTCCGTACAGTCAGCAGGACTTGGCCCCAGAAGCCAAAAAAAAATGGCTTTTTCCATTCTCCATTAGCAGCAAAATTATTTTGAGTATTTGTTCGTAACTGTTCTGTTCAAGTCGCCTTGGATAAGAATGTGTAAAGAACCTATGTGAGTTTGTAGCTCTCCAAACACTACAATAATCTTTGAGTGATTCTCAGCAAACATCACGTGTGAGTATCACAGCTCTATATTTTTCTGCTAACATTCATGTTTATAACTTTAAAATGTGTTTCAGAGGATATAATGTCTGTAAATCTTCCTGCTTGCAGAGTTGTCTTACATGGACTGAGGATGTACAGGAAATTCTCTTGTGCTTTAGTCATTCACTATGTCCGGTTAACTTAAGTCTGCTGGAAAGAGAGAGCACTTGCAGAGATTTCAGGAGATGATCTGATTTTCCCTCCCAGCAGCTGTGATGAGAGAATATTAACTGTGCCTGTATAGAGCACAAAGAGCAGGCCATTTCAGATCTCAGTGAATGGTAATCTAGATCTTTGATTCTTAGCTATTTAATATTGAAAAAAAAATTACCAAGCACAGCTGAGCTACTTACACTAAACAACAGTGATTCAGCACTTCAGTTTGCCGACAGACACATCATTATCTGCTAGTTTTTATATGTCAAAACAGTGTAGGAGTGTAAAATAGTAAAGCTGATAAGGATTTGTACAGCAAACTTGTGTTTAGAACAACTATTGAACTGATGTAAAGGAGGAAATAATTTGACTTTGATTTCTTTCTGTTTATTAAAGCAGCAGTAAGTGAATTGGTTATAGAGTATTTCCACTGATCTTTTCTGCTAGCTGGATGTATTGGAAATACCAGAACACTAGAAGCATTCCTGTTACCTGAGAGCAGTATGTTTTAGTACTCCATACTAGCTACAGTATAATGGAGTACTGCCAGGGACTGTGTTGGTAGAACAGGGAGGGATGGTTATTTTCTTCTACTTTTTAGGAAGATGGCATTTCTGTCTCCTGACTCATCAACACCTCCATGTCATCACCATGATTAATAAAACTTTGTATTTCCCCAAGTGAACCAAATGCATTGATTTCTAGAGAATAACCTTGGTGCTGATAAGACTTTATTAGTCTACTGGTTTTTGGTCTGAGAGGTGATGCTCTTGTTACGATAGGTCTTTGCAGGAGCCTGGTGATCAGTAGCAGATCTGACCTGTGCTTTAGTTCTTGCCGCACGAAGAAATAAAACAGCTCTGGCTGCTAAGCTGGTGTTAACCTACTGCTAACCTGATGTGACCTACTAACTTGGATTACTTCTAACGTACTGCCATAGTGCATGTTAGCAGGTCACACCAATATGGGACTCAACGGAGTGAGCCTGTGAACTTACGTGGTGAAAGTACAGACTACTTTGCCTGTAGTAGTTACTGCAAATTAGTTGACTTAGCAATTGCAAGGTGTAAAAGTCGCTGCCATGAAAGTGTGGGGTTTGGGGTTTAACTCGAAGGAGCAACTCAATTAGTTAACTGTGTTTGCTTCTTTTGTAGTCGCTAGATATTAGAATATACACCAGTTACTGAAATTTGGACAGAAATTGTTAGAGGCAGTCTCTTCTCCATCTTCTGAATGCAGACTGAATTTCATCTGCCCATGTTCTTCATTGTTTGTGTTTTAACTAATGGCAGAGGATCTTGAAAGAAGTGCATACAAATGAGAGGAAGCGGAAGGTTTTGCACGGGATGGTTGTGGAACCAGGTGCAGGCTTTTTTGAGATGACGGAGGTTGCAAGAGAAGATGTTCATGTGTCAAATACGGTTACTCTGCATTTCCCAGTATAAGAGAAGAAACTTGAAAGGACAGGACTAGTAATTAACAGCTGAAGTAATTTGACTTTGTCAGCGTAAAAACTGTCAAGCTGAGTTTTCATTAGTATGACACTGTCACTGCCTTCTACGCAACTCCTCTTTGTAAGAAAGTCTGTCTGTACAACTTACAGGGATGCTCCTTTCCACCTAAAAGTCTGACAGGATATTGTAACAGACATCATTTTCATTTGATAGACACTCATGAGAAACAGTTCTGCAGGGGGGGTGAAGAAAAAAGAAGAAACAACCTGAAAAGAGTATATGCCAAGAAATAGTGTGTGTAGTCAGATATCTGAAGTTCTTTGGGAAAAGCCTGTAACAGGATGACATGAACAAAGAGAGCTTTGCTTTGCTTCTACAGCCAAAAGAACGCCCAGAATTTCTGTATTAATTAACTATCCACCCCCCACATACTATTTTTTTTTTCTTCCAGCAGCAAAGGAGGAGTGATTGCTCCAGACATGCCACAGGCTGCTCCATTTGTTTTAGCACAGTCAGGTACCCCTTCCCAGATCAGCTCTAGGTAGCTTGTAGGGAGAGAATAGCTTTAGGACTGAGAGGTATGACAGAAATTTGACATTAGCCCTGTCCACCTTCAGCTGTACGGGGAAAGCTCTTATATTGCTCTGTAAGTGCTCTGGCTACGTGAAAATTTATTAATCCTAAATGTTACATTATTGCATAGATAGGTATCTGTTTGGATTCAGTAATACATAACCAATGGTTAATGAATGGTGATTTGGGCTACCTGCAGATTAATATTTGTAATGATTTCTGTGTTAATAGCATAGACAGTAGCTTCTTCTCGCTCAGCAAAATAAAGTGAAGTACAACTTCAGATTTGTTGTATGCAGAAAATACTGCAAGTGAATATGGGAAACTGTAACATGATTTTCCTAGTTACAGAGAAAGCTATGAAATACTGGCACTGCTAATGCTTTGCATGTTGTCGTTATGTGGGTATCAACTTTTCTTTTCCTTTTTTTAATCTTCTTTTTAGAGATTATGATATGAAGTCTTGGGGGCAAAAAGAAGAGAAATTGGTGTCTCGTGTTGAATGTCTTTCTCCAGACAGTCCAGTTCTTTTTCTCACAGTTACAGTTTAAACACTGGTTTCTACTCCCCTCACATGCCTCACTTCCTAACAGTTGCTGCAATTGCTAGCAGTGGCAACCTTTCCCACCAGCTCTGCTCCTGCGTTGCTTGATGTAGCTGAACTAATGATCAAAGGTTGCTGTTTCTTCTCCAGATCCCTTTCTTTTTCCTCCATCGAGAAAAATCAGGGTAATCTTGAGGGGGGATCAAAATTAGAGAAGTGCTACTGAAAGAGGGAAGCTGAACTTTCGGACTCCTGAAGCTTGTGGAACAGTCGAGGCTCTGGCTGGTGCCTCAGAAACGGTGGTGGGCTGGGCAGGGCGATGTGTGCTGTCTCCTCTTTGGAGGGACTCTGGAGGGACGGGGAATCACAAGCTTGTTTTAGATTATAACCAAAGACTTTGTGCCTGGAGGTTTGTGGGAATTGATTGCTTTGTATCCTAACTGAAAAAAGCAACCCATACAGCTTTTTCTACAGTAGCAGCAGCAAAACACTATTTTGTTCAATTTTCTCTTAAGATGAAAAGAACATGAGCAGCAATATCACCGCTTTAAGATGCTGTAGTACCAGATCTGTGTGAAGTGGCAAGGGGCAGTGACCGTGCAGCTCACTGTTCTGCACGAGGAATGTGTGGAAAGAGCAGCGCAAAAGATGACAGCAGCTTGAGGTAGTGATCATGGCAAAGAAGAGAGATCGTATGTGTTGTCTGAAGTATTACACATGATGTACAAAAGATATCCACATTTTCTATTAAACATATGTTCTAGGATTCATCTGACTGACAGTTTAATGCACTGCTCCTTTCTGTCTGGTGAGACTTCCTATGCTTTTTTCTTCCTTGTCTCTTTAAAGCTAGTTACAGTAATGTGAAATGAGCATTTTCCAGTTCTGTCAGGAGTTTTAAACGCACATGTTTCTAGCACCACCTGCTGCTTTTAATCCTAATAGGATTTTTAACTGCTTTTGTCTGTGCTTTATTTCCCCAGGATCTACTAACATTTAAAAGAAAACCTTTATTAAGTAAATGGAAGATGGAGTTCAGGTATATCCATCCCTTTCTTTTGCTGAGCATGTCTGATGTTTCCTATACAAAGAGATCTTTTGGCTTCTGTTTAGTCTCATTGAGGAAACTGCTAAACTGCTCTAAAAGTTAGAAAGTGAGCAGCCAGCTTTTTACAAATAGTTGGCATTTTAAACTCTATAAAAAGTCCTTATGCAAGTGACAGCGCTACGCTATAGTGAGGTGCCCTGTCTTTAACAGGCTTTGCTAAACAGTGAGAAACTACTTTTAGTGTAATTGACTTTAAAAATCTTAATGAAGAGCCTTATGTTTGAATGTTGAACAGGAAAAGAGGCATTTATGTGAACAAGTAGGATGAATGGGATGGGTTTGCAAGATACCCAGAACGACTGAATGGGAACAAAGAGATGTCCAAGGCAAGGAAATAAATGTGAAATGATTGTCAGCCTGGATGTTTCAGGTTCAGGCAGTGATGCCCACAATTTATGTCTTTTTTCAGAATGTACACCTTGCGAAGTACCAAGTGAATCATCTTGCAGGAGGGCGCAGGCATTTGTCCTGGACTTTGTGGCTGCTCTGCCAAGTTGTGACTCCTCTTGCTTTTCTCTCTCTGGTGGGAGCTGGATTTTTTTTTACCCAACTGGGAGAGATAGCTTGACCCTCACCACTCTTCCATGAGTGCCAGTACAACAAAGGTAATTTGTGGCAGTGGGAGCTAGTTGCCTGCAAGATGCAGGGCAAGAAAGTCTTTGGGGTTGTGGCACAGCGTCACTGTGTGGTCCCAGAGACAGCAGTGCTGTTGTGTGTGCTGACAGGTGGCAGGTCATCTGCTCCTCACTCTTTGTGATCTGCTTAGGGTCAAGGAGCTCTGCTGCTGCTATTCGTGTATCTCTCTGAAGAGTGAAGTCCTGTCCAAGATGAATAAATTGTGAAATAACTTAATTTTTCCTTTGCGTTTTCATCCTTTGTTATTTTAATAGAGAAATAGTAGCAGTCAGCTTAGCCTTAGCGTGTTGAGAACTGGTTATCATAACTAAGATGTAATAAATGTCCTCTGAGACCAGAAGGCAGAGAGGAAGGAGTGAATCATAGATACCCTGCAGAGAACAGAGCTACAAGCAGCAAGGAAGAACTAAAGAAAAGAAGCCTTTTCTTATAAACTTTAGACTTTAATAAACAGCTAAGTTGCTCAATCTCCTGTTACAAAGCAGTAGGTAAGGAGGAAAAGAAGAATGAAAGATGGAGCATTTGAAGTGGATAGGTGACGTATTTTACCCAAACTTTTTTATAGCTAAGAAGTAAAACTGAATATAACTAAACAGCAAAGGAAAGTAGCTCTGAGTCTGGACTTACTGAAAGATCATTCCACTTCTTCCCAGGCAAATGTTTTTATTCACCTAATTGTTTTCTCATCCTCTTCTAACTTGTCCACTTTGCATCCTTAATAAGGAAGAGAACTTGTGACCTGCTAAATGCCAAAAACCCTTAACCTTGAATATATGTGCGTACATACCTTCAGGCTGGCTGCTGTGCTGTTCCCTTCTGCCCCCTGCCCATCCTCAACTCTTGTTAATTTATGGTAGGCATTTTTCACACTTCGCTCCTGCAACTTGTAGGGTTGCAACAGAAAATAAATTTTTATTTAAGAAATAAGGGCAATGAGGATGTTTTCAAGGTAGGCAGTGGAATTTCTCTGAAATTCTCATTAGGTGTGTATAAAAAAGCAGAATTTTCATGTTAGGTATGATTTTTAAATGATGGTTCTGTAGCTGAAATGTTAACAGATTAAATTAGTGATTGAACATTCTATCAGCCTGCATTTGAGATAATCATTAATTTTTCAAATGTGACTGGTTATGATATCTATCATATAGATGTTCTAATGTGACAGCTGTGTCTGTAACTTAGAATGGGGACAATTGGGGGGGGTTGTTCTTTTTTAATTAAAATAGAGAAGGAATGTTTATACATAAACTGCTACATTTTAAAAATAGTAAAAATACTTAATGTATATTGCAGTTTAACCAAAGAAAGCTGAGACAGCATTCTTTTACCCTTTTGAAACAAGCCAAAGTGAGTATACTTCTTGGATTTTGATTCCAAACTCTGTTGAAGTAAAGCTGCTTTTACAAAGCACTATGGGGTTGAGTTAGGTTGGTTTGTCTGAAGTGGGGTTGAGGTTTTTTTTTAATGGAAATTCCTTTTTTTTTTTTTTTCTGTTGGAGGATGCTTCTCCCAGAATATTTGGAGCACCTCTTTTTTTCAAGTGTCTACAGGCTGTTTTACAGCCTGTCCTTTTCCAAAGGACATTTTGAAATTAGCCTTCACTTAGGCTGCCCTGATTGGAGAACCAGGCTTTGGGATTCAAGTGTTTCTAGACAGAAGCACACGAAGAGATCACAAAAAACAGACACGCTGCATACTTTTTTTAATTCATAGACATATAAAGCTGTTAATGTTGCATACAGAGATTTAAACCATTAATAAAAATGTTTGGTGTTTCTTAGTTGTTTGTCATGGACAGAACCTGTAGGGCTCTGATTTATTCAAGAAACAGCAAAACACTGATTTACCACTCTGCCATTTAGTGGTCTATATATGATCATCTGGTATATTTTCTGCGTAGTGGCTTTGTCGTCTCGCAGCATTAAATCTACCAGTTTACATACTAGAGAGAGAGAGAACGTCATATTCTCCAAAGATTAGTTATGTTGCAGCTAAAGCAAACTTCTAAAGCAACTTTCTGGTAGTTTTTAGTATCTTGCTTTTTGTTGCTGTTGTTTTGATCAGTGCAGGTACAAATATTTAATGTTGTACGTTTACTTTAAATGTCTTTAAAAAGCAGCATATTTGTTTCTCCTCTAGTCTTACATAAAAACCAAGCAATGGGCTATTTTTAC